CGGGGTTCAGAAACGTCATGAAGTGGTTCTCGGTGTGATGTCGAGTCTGTGCTGCACGGGTGGTAGAGGACTGGGTCAGGATCTGAAAGCCCAGGGTTCAAATACCCACATAGCCATGAAGCTCTCTGAGTGACCCTGGGCCAGACCTCCTCTTTCAATCTAACCTACCTCACAGGGTCGTTGTGAGGTTACAATGGAAGGAATATACAATGGATATGTTGCCCTGAGAGGCCTCCTTTATCAGACACATGAACGCATGAAAGCTGCCTCGTATTAAATCAGTCCCTTGGTCCAGCAGCACCTTAAAGACTAACAAAATATGTGGCAGGGTATGCGCTTTCGTGAATCACTGCTCACTTCTTCAGCGAGTCAGGAGTGAGGAGTGACTCATGAAAGCTCCTCCCCACCACATATTTTGTTAGTCTTTGAGGTGCTGATGGACTCTTACTCTTTTCTGCTGCTACAGGCAGACTAATACGCCTACCCATCTTGATCAGTCTCCTTGGTCCATCGGTATTATCTACTCAGCCTCGTAGCTGCTTTCCAGAGTCTCCGTCTTTGCCATCACCTACAGCCTAACCCTTAACTGGAGATGCCGGGGACTGAACCTGGGACCTCCTGCATGCCAAGCAGATCCTCTCCCACTGAGCTACAGCCTCTCTCCTGAAGAAAAGTATGCAATAGAAAAACAGGGTATCATGACCCTGTCCCGATTTTTATCAGTGAATCGTCTGTGGGCATGCATTCTACGATCAATGAAACGGTCTGGAAGAACTTGGAAAGTCCAGAGGTGAAGAGAAGAGTGTAATGTATTGAAACGATTACATGAATCACCTCATAGGACTCCTATGTTAAGCTTCGAGCCAGACCAGGCTCCTCTGAGCGAACTTCCTATTGGTCGCTTCGTAACAGCGACCAATCAGAACTGTGCCTTTTCCCTGCGAGGGAAAGACTTTCATTGGTCCTTAACTAAGCAATCTCATTGGTTGTTATTTGTAAATAGGCGTGGCTACATTAGCCCGGTTATGTTTAAAAGTGTTTTCTGTTCTGGTTTTCTTACTGAGTTGAGTGCTTGTTCGTTACTTCCAATAAAGCTGAATCACTTGCTGAATCACTCTACGAGTCCTTGTTAGCGCGATCTAACAATTGGCGACGAAGGTGGGATGGTAGAGCAGGTAGGCAGCCCTGCGGACATCCACACTTCGGACTCGGAAGAAAGCGAGCAGAGCACAGCAGCCGATCCGGCGGAGGCGCCACCAGCTCCGGTGCCCAAGTCTCCCCCGATGGCTGGAAGCCAGAAGTTCGAGTGCTTCGAACCCTCCTCAGAAGACTGGGACTCCTACCTATCCAGGTGAGGACTGCTCTCAAGAGAGAACAGCTCCGAGAGGACTTGTGACTCACCCAAGGTCACCCAGCAGGCTTCGTGTGGAGGGGAGGGGGAATCAAACCCAGTTCTCCCAGATTAGAGTCCACCACTCTTAACCACTACACCAAGCTGGGGTAGGGAAAATTCATTTTGTCCAGTGCAAATTCCCTCATGTTACGTCTGGAAGTGCCAACCTGTATCTGGGAGAAACCTGTGTTTCAAAATGTCCACGTGTCTCCATTCGGAGGTTCCAGCTGTTCTGCCGGCATTGCCTGATCACAATCTGATCGGGTTCATCTTGTGGAGAAATGGAACAGACACGATTCAGCCAACTGTGGAACCCCGTTGATGAGAATGAATACTGATCTCTCCCCCTTTTATACACACAGGAGCCCTGACCTGGGTAGCCCAGGCTAGCTTGATCTTGCCAGATCTGGAAAGCTAAGCAGGGTCAGACCTGGTTAGTATTTGGATGGGAGACCACCAAGGACGTCCAGGGTCGCTATGCAGAGGCAGGCCATGGCAAACCACCTCTGAACGTCTCTTGCCTTGAAAACCCTACGGGGTCTCCAGACTTCAGCTGTGACTTGACGACACTTTCCACCATCCACCCATAAATGCAATGTTGCCAACCTCCAGGTGGGGCCTGGAGATTTCCCAGAATTATAACTTACCTCCAGTTTACCGAGCTCAGTTCTCTGGGTGCAATGGTAAGAACATAAGAGAAT